AGGCTGCTAACCTTAAGGTCGGCAGTTTGAAACTACCAGCTGTTCGGTGGGAGAATGATGAGGCTTTCTGCCCCCGTAAAGATTTGAAGCCTCGGAAACCCAACTCCACGATACTTAACAATAACAACATACAAGAGAAGGGCTCTTGGTGTGGTGCTGTAGGATCAGCACCGGAGAGCAAACCATATAGTTAGTTTAAACCCACCAGCCACTCCTCGGAAATACTATACAGGGTCGCTATGAGTCAGGACCAACTTTAGTTAGTTTAAACCCACCAGCCACTCCTCGGAAATACTATACAGGGTCGCTATGAGTCAGAGCCGACTCCACGGAACTTAACAGCAACAATATACAAGAGAAAGTGCTTATCAGAATGTCTGAATATATAGACAAAATCTAAGGAGGAAAAATTAAATTTTCATCTTGAATAAAAATAATACTATGAAGGAACTCTAGTGTGGTGCTGTGGGTTAATGCACCAGACTGCAAACCCGTCTGAACTGCAAGGTCAGTGGTTCAAGCTCACCAGCCGTTCCTAGGCAACCCTGTATAGGGTCACAACTTATCCAAATGCATTGTAAAAAAAAATAAATACATAGCAATTGCATGTCCAAGATTTTTACTAAGAGATCATAATGGATATTAAAAAAGATTTAGCTACACTAATTTCCACCCCCAATGTTGATAAAAGGAAAACATTAAATTTGCTAAAAAATCAACATTTGAAGTCACATACAATTAAATAAATTGTAGAATATCATTTAAAATGATACTGTACTATCATTAAAATAAATGAGCAGACTATTTTTAAGAAAATATCCATATTTTCTATAGCTATTATTTATGTTTAAAATTAAAATTAGTTTAAAAACCCTGGCACTGACTGCATAAGAACATAGAAAACCTAAGAGACTTAAGAGTGACAGGAAGCACAACAGAATACTATTTACAGGATGACATGGTACAGAGAAAGAAAGAAAATTCAGGTCCTTCTTGGTTTTGTACATTTATACTACCAAGTCTAGTCTGTTTAGCTTTAGAAAATAAGTCATAAACATTCATTTACAAAGGTAAAATTCAAATTGATAATAACAATCCAGATTCCAAAATGTGGGACAACAGTTCGTAATTAAGAAGGCTAAAGAAGCTTCAGTCACTGTTTCAGAATAAAAGTATTACATTTTGTTCACTGCTCTTACTGACTGGCTGTGAATGTTGTTGTTATTAGGTGCCATTGAGTCGGTACTGACCCATAGTGACCTTATGCACAGCAGAATGAAACACTGCCCAATCCTGGGCCAACCTCACAATTGTTGCCACGCTTGAGTCCATTGATGCTGCCACTTGGCCAATCCATCTCGTTGGGGCTCTTCCTCTTTTTCTCTGATCTTACCAAACATGATATCCTTCTCTAGCGACTGGTTTCTCCTGACAATATGTCTAAAGTATGAGAGATGAAGTTTGGCCATCATGGCCTCCAAGGAGCACTCTGGCTGCACTTCTTCCAACACAGATCTGTTGGTTCTTTTGGCAGCCCATGGCACTTTCAATATTCTCCT